AGTCGTACCAGCTGACAAAGCATTTGGGCAAAAGGATGAAAAAGACAAGCTGAATGGCATGGGAAATCAAAAGAGTCTTGATTACTTTAGTTTAGGCACCCTCTGGATACCCTCAAGGCATATCATTTTATAAGGCTTAGGCATTGGCATGCCTTTCGGGGCCCACCATGTTAATTCTATGCATAGGCACACCTTTCGAGGCATATCATACACTTAAACTTAGACATCGACATGCCTTTTGAGGCACATCATTGGCATGTCTTTTAAGGCACATTATTGGCATGCCTTTCGAGACACAACAATGTATATCATCTATAGCAATTGGCACTAGCACACAAATCACTTGGTGTAGACACCTCATTTTGACTGACCCTAAGACTTCGGGTGCTTGCAAGCCTCTCAATGACTAAATGGCACTTACTTCATCCTTGGAATTTTTAAAGGTTGTTTAAAGTTGTTGTATAAACCCGTTTTGGCCAAAAATCAACTTTTTTCAAAAATGACCGTTTTACCTCTAGATCCATTTTTAGCTAAAAACCAACTTCTTAACCCTAGAGAGCCCGATTGTGCTTTGGATTGATCGTATTTTCCAAAATTAATGAACCGTTTGATCAAAAACATTAATTAGAATGCAATTGGGGCTTACTTGTGCCACAAGCAAGAGAAGAGCATAGAACAATGTACTTGTGCATGTATGCATGACATATATACCAAGGCAAAATGTGCGTGTGCATGTAGATGTGAGTGTTCATGTTGTTTGTATGTGTGCGCAATCGTTGCACGTGTGCATTTGGTTTTTATATGTGCACATTGAAGCATCACATAGTTATTTTTGCTAACTTAATTTTGGTGCAATTTTGATGGGAACAACAGAGGGGGAAGCGATGAAACCCTAGAAGGGTTCCAGAGGCTTCCTCCAGTTCTATAAATAGAACCTCTCCCCCTTTCTTTCGAGGGGTTAAGAACTTGGAGCCCCTTTTCAAGCTTTTGAGATCAAAACACCACACCTCTCGTCTCCCTATGCCCTAGCTTTGAAAATAACACACCCCATGGCAACTCTAAATGTTGGAAAACATCCTAAGGCTTGAAGAACACGTACTCTAATTGGAATCCACACATGAGGGAGGTTTGGAAACAAGAAAACAAGGTTTTATCACATTTTCTTAAGGTTGATTCAAAACAGTAGGTAATCCTCTCATCTTTTATTATTTCAGTACCTCTTTTATTTATGTTTTTAATAGTAAACCATGTTTAGGGTTCTAGTGCACTCATATGCTATGTAACATGCATATTAGTCTTTTGTTTTTTTTTTCCTTTTCTTTTTTGGTCATTTTCACCATGTTTCTTTTATTTTTATTAGAACAACATGTTTATGTTCATTTAATCATGTGGAATCCATGTGTTAGGCCTGGTTTGAATCATTATGTAGATAGTTTTGTATCGTTACTTCTCTTTTCTTTGTTTGTTATTTGCTTTTTGTGCATAAACATCATTAGTAGCCTTAAACTAGGCCTAGGTTAATGTTCTGTATAATTAGTTGCATATTTAGGTCATACTTTCTTTTTATGTTTTGCCTGAAAGACATTGAAAGTAGGCGACAAAGTATGTTCTCCATACCTCCATAGCATGTGCTTGTGTTTGCATTGTCTTTTTTTTTTTTTTCCTTTTTCTTTTTTTAATTATCCATGTTAAGTGCTTTTTGTATGCAAAATTACATGTTTTGGATGCTTTTTATGAATATTATTTGTTTTAGGTTGAGTTTATGGCCATGGATTGATAAAATTCATTTTTCATTGAAAAATCACTATTTATTTATTTATTTTTTTTAAATATGGCTTTACTCTTACAATCTCAAAAATCGATATTCATTTTAATTAAGTCATATAGTTTTAGGGTTAGTAAAGGTTTTAGGACTAAAATGAATAATGTGAACAGTTAACCACCAAAATCATAAAATAAAGAATGAGTGGAGGCCAATTTTTGGATTGGGCAATAGAGTGCGCTTCTATGTAAATGGCCTTCCCTTTTTGTACCTAAGCACCCGAACCTAGAATGCTCTTGGTTATGACAGACTAGGCCTTAAATTAGTTTTCATTGTTAAATGTTTCTTAATTCCCTTTTAAAAATTAAGTGGTGACTCTATGTCAGTAAAGTAAGTCGATGTGGGATGCATGCCTTAGACTCGAAAAAGGCACGGTGCCTAGACTTTAAAATGTTTAAAGGTTGTTTAGAGTTGTTGTAACCCATTTTGGCCAAAAATCAACTTTTTTTAAAAAATGACCATTTTACCCGTAGACCCATTTTTAGCCAAAAAACTGGCTTCTTAGACCTGGAAAGTCTGATTGTGCTTTGATTGATCGTATTTTCCAAAATTAGTGACCCGTTTTATCAAAAACATAGGATCACATACTTGTGCATGCATGCATGGCACATGTACCAAGGCAAAATGTGCGTGCGCACATTAGATGTAAGTGCAAATATTGTTTGTGCATGCCCATCATAGTTGCGCGTGCACATAAGGCCTGTGTGTGCGCACGTTGAAGCATCGTAGAGCCAGGTATGAAAACTCAATTTTGGCACCCTTTTAAAGGGAGGCAGTAGAGGAAGCAATGGGGGTTGCCCTAGCTTGTCCTCTATGCCTCCCATTGCCTATTTAAAGGCCTTTTTCCGCTCTTTTTGAAGGGGTTAAGAAATTGAAAGCTTTTTTGGGAGTTTAAGAACCAAACACTTTTCTCCTCAACCTCTCTTGCCTTAACTCTGAAAATACCCTACCCACAGCAACTCTAAATACTGAAAATCACTCTAAAGCTTGGAGAACTTGAACACAATCAGAAACCTAAGCTTGAGGAAGGCTTGAAAGCAAGAAACTAGAGTTTCTTTGCATTTTCCTTTGTGTGCTCTTCGGTTCTTGAAAACCAGTATTTTAGCAGTTCTTTGCTTATTTTCAATAGTCAATCCATGCTACGTTAATAATCCATCATAGCATCATGTAGTTTATTCATTTTTGTCTACTTTTTTGCTTTATTTCGCATGTTTCTTTCTATGTTGTTAGAATAACATGTTTTAGGCTTGTTTTAGTCATATAGTAAGCATGCATGGCCCAGTTGGATCATCTTCTAAATAGTTCGTATTTTCTCTTTTTACTTGTTATTTTCCTTTTTATGCATAAGCATCATTTAGTAGTTTCAAACCGGGCCTAGGATCATATCTTGCGTGTGTTCACTATTACAAAAATAGTTAAAGATCACACTTGACAAAAAATAAATATAAAAAATCTCACTTTTATTGGAAGTGTGATAAAAAAAAAATTAGATTGATATTTTAATCACACTTAATTTGATTGTGTGTGATAATATTTATTTTTTATATCACTTTTTAATTAAGTGTGATTATATATATATATATATTTAATCGCACATTCTAATTAAAGTGTGATTAGAATATGTGATTATATATACACTATTATTTTTTAATAACACTTTTCAAATAAGTATGATTATATATATATTTTTTTAATCACACATTTTAATTAAAGTGTGATCATTTATATATTTTTTAATGAGATTTTTATTGATAAGTCCAATTTAGAAGTGTTTTAACCCAAGAAGTCCATGAACGAATTTTTTAACCCATTTAGTCCCATGTATGTGTAGTTTTATTTCATAAAGTCCATTTTCTTAATTTACACTATTTTCTTGGACACTTATGTCCTTATATTTAATTTTGATACCCTTATAAATATTTTTTCAACGATTAGCAATTTAATGATGTGAAAATTCATATTTTAAAATTCACATTTGTAGGAATGTAAATTGGCCCGTGGGCGGCCCAAAACCCGCCCGCGAGCCAGGGCGGGCCCGGCCCGTTGACAATGTGAATATTCACATTGACATGTTAAAATTCACATTAATAGGAGTTTACACAAAAATAGTTCTTTGAACCCATACATGTAAAGCCCTTGGTTTGTCAAAAAATAATTACAACAAAAACAAAAGAGCCTTGTGCTCTCAAAATATATTCCACACCTTTAACTCCACGAGATTGCTACATCCTTTCCTGCACAAAATCTCATAGGGTGAACACAAAACCCAGTAGGAAAATCTTAACAAAGTATATATATTTTTATTCAATCTTCTGAGATGAATGCATATGTTATGCCATGTTCAAAAACACATATCTTTATCCTTTGAAAACCTTTATATACCATGAAATCTTGAAAATTCAACAACTCAATAGTTTCAATAAAGTTCAAAGGGGCGGTAAATACGACTCAAGTAATCCTTAGGTTGGTTTCTACAAGTAGACATAACCAGCACTACCAAATCCCCACTTTACTGGTAGTTAACCGAAAGGCACGTAATACCTCATCCGCGCGTGTTTTCGGTCTTTCACCTTAGACACTCAAGCCAACTTAAACAATACCAATCTACACCTCCCATCCGGACTTACCAACCGTATTTACCCCAACAACATAGAAAATATGAGGATGTCAATGTGAATATTCATATTATCACCGGGCCGGGTCGGGCTTTTTTTTTTGGCTTGTGGGCCGGCCCGGCCCGACTCAAATTTTTCCGGGCACCCACGAGGCTCGACATGAGCCGAGCCCCTACACATTGACGATATAAACATTTATATTGACGGTGTGAACATTCACATTAAGGGTATTTTGGTAATTATGTCACCCATAGAACTTATTGAAACATAAGAAAATAATGTGAACTAAATAGAACATAAGTAGATGAAAAGGGTATTTTAGTCTTTTTATCTCAAATTGGACCTAATGGAATACTCAAAAAGAATATGGGTTGGATGGAATAAACCTCTTAGAAAATGAATTTATCAAAAAAACTTCCTTTCTTAATTACACTTTTTAAATAAGTGTAATTATATATACATAATTACACTCCAAATAGGTGTGATTGAATAAAATATTCGAATTTAATTTTTATATAAAATATACTATTCCTAAATTTGCGCCTCTGTTCTACCCATACCCATGAATGGCAGAGGACGACTATTTCTATTCCCAACAAGATTGAATTTCACAAGCAGTTGTCCTTGCCTTCTGTTCACAGTCGGGAGGATTGGCTTGGTACTTGAAGAAGGGTCGCTATGCTCAGTGAGGCGAAACCAGAGGTCTGGTTTTCATAGTCGTTGTACTTGAATACCTAGCTACTGAAGTAACTCTCTCTCTCTCTCTCCCTCTTGTGTTTCAAACTCTTTATTGTATGATCATCATCAAACCCTAACTCTTGATTTGTTCTTCGTTAATTGTAATTCTTCGTATTCGCAATGCTTCAGTTCGTATATTAATGGCGAACTCGTTCTCTATTCAATTTGGATCTCTGTTTTTGATTTGGTTAGGTTTATCTGTTTTTCGTTTAATGGTTAGGGTTTTGTTTGAGAACTTTGTGTTTTTGCTAGTTTTTGATGAATTTGGGGGAATTATTTTGTCTCCGTCGATTTGCTCTTTTGAATACTTGTTTGAGGTGGTTTTGTTTGGTTAGTGAGAAAATGCAAGGTTATTGAGAAAAATTTAACAGCAGATAATGAATTGCCTTCTCTTTTCCTTTTGAAAATTTCCTAGTTTGCTGATAAATTTCATTTTTTTTTTTTAATATTACAGTTACTAAACCTTTAGGTTAACCTCAAGTAGGCTGAATTGGAGTTTCTTGGGAGCTTCTGGTCAAAAAAAGAAGAAAAAGAAGAAAACTTGTCGACTTTATGCAGATGGCTGGAAAAAGAGATACTTGTACACAAATGGATTTTATTTTGCAGATTTTGGTATATTCTTGAACTTGCAATGATGTGCTAAATGCCATTATTAATGTTCTTTTCACATGGATAATGTTAAAAGTTGATCGTGTTCGTATGGTGTTTTCTTGTAGTCTGAATATTACTAGTTATACAATCATTGTTTTGCATTCGTGTTCTGTTAAAGTTTCAAAAGTGGCCACTGTTTTTTAATAAAGCCTTCCAATGATTTGCTAAAACATATGATTTTGTATTTTCTCATTGATTAATGCAAAGCATTGATGAATTGCTTTTTGTTTCTGGTTGGCAAATTCTGAGTGCAAATTTTAAGAAAAATAAACCTGAGGCTATTATTTTGGGTAAAATTTATCTAAAATCTTTATCATTTTTAAGCTGCCCTTTTATAGGAGTTGTTTAATATTTCTATAAAAGTATTCATCAGGGCGCATGCTCTTCAATATACGGCACTGAGGTCATTTTCTCTATTTATGTTAAAAAATAAGTCTGGCCTTTCGATTTATATTTCGTGATGTCGTTTTGTAAATTGAGTTCTGCAGTCACATGTTATTTATTTATTTATTTTTTTTGTTACAGATTTATTTATTTTCTTATTTATTTAGTTGGCATTGCATATGATAGGTGTATATATGTAGTTTTGTGTTTTTTGTATCTTCATTTCATGCCTTTCTTGAGGAGATTTTTTACTTTTGTTACCATTGTTTCTGATTTTTTTCTACCATGTTCTTTTGTTTTTTTAATTTTAAATTTAATTTTCTTTTCTTTTCTTACCTTTGGTCCCTTAAATGTCAGCAAGTCATCATTATGTATTTATTATTTTTTATGTGATATGTTCCTGTTTGCTTACCCCTCATTGACATAATTTTGATTGTGCTTTAAAATACGCTAGATGGTTGATCAACAACTATGACATAATTGTCCCACTCCTCTGTAATATATATAGCTTCCTCAACCGTCCATTGTATTCAACTTTATCTATTATTATTCCCCTATAATTTCTATTCTTTCTTTCTCTATTTGATTGGTTTTGGTTTATGCTCTTCCTCATCCATGACTTCCCCTTAGTTAAAACTGAAATGTGACAATTTTAATCAATTTATCAATGAAAATGAAAGGATGGTGCCCATGGTGTTTATCCATCATTAAATACACTAAGATTCGAAGGGAATGGTATTCAATGAATCTTTAGTTCAATTCATTTTTGGGCAGTAGCATTAATTAACAGCCTTTATTTGGGTGGTCAAAACTGTACAAAATTATGACAGATTACATTAATTACAATGGTGTACATAAATTACATTGACTATCTCTGACCAAAGAAGAAAGTAAAAATCAGTTTCCATCATCATTTGTTTTGTTCCTTTTTTTTAAATATATTTTTATTGGGTTGGAATTGCTACTTCCTATGATTTATGACTGTTGGATACCTACCCTGGATGCATGTTTGTCTGAATATTTTCTTCACAATAAATATATATATTTTTAATGTTAGTTTTCGTCAGATATGCATGACAGAAACATGAAATTTACATGTTAACTTATTTGATTTTGTTCAACGGTTCGCAATTTCTCCTCTATGGCAATTTCATTGGGGGATTTTTGGTAGAAGACTTAGAGAGAATACCAGTTAATCTTTTGTGTTTTAGTTTGTAAATAATGATTGTTCTTGCAGATAAATGGAATCAAAGCGGGTTAAAGTATTGGATAATGGCCATAGAATCATTGTTGACGCAAAGAGAAAACGGGCAGCTCAATGTGCAGCAAATATAATTGAAGCAAGCCACAAGCCTTTGTCAGTTCAGACCAACCATAATTCATTATTTCCAAAGCTTGGCAAGCAGAAAAGACTGGTTGGATGCAAAACCAAATGCGGGGTGCACTTGAGAAAATCGTTACATAAGAACTATTCCAATTTCATGAAAAGTGGACTGCCACAACGGTCACTGTTTTATCAGAATGGTGACTGGAATGGTTTTCCTCATGATATTGTTGTGTTGGTTAGCAAAGATTTTCAAATGAAAAATGCGGCAATTGAAGTGCAGTTCAAGGGCTGCAATTTAATGTTTCATATCTTGTACATGATTCAAGTAGATTTGAAGACAGGTTCCCAGAAGCCTATAGCTTGGATTGATGAATCTGGTAGCTGATTTTTTCCTTAATTATACTCTACTAATGGTGGAATACATGAATACAATCAATCTGAGTTAGAAAAAGATGAATTCGGGTATGCGGAGCCAAATGGGCCCCTGAAATCAAGTTGCATCTTCAAATAGAAGTAAACAGAGTTAATGGCTTCAATTTGGAGGAATGTGTGAAAGAGTCAAATATTTGTGCTAAGCGAATTAAAATTGAACAAAAATCTAACAGAAATAATGATGAGCTAGGCATTGATGACAATTATAATGAAAAATCTGTTTCAAAAATGGACAAGGTTGTTGAGAAAGTTCAACAGAGTGGCAAAAATTTATCCTCTAAGTTTGAATATGCTTGTGAAACTGTAGATTTAGATACTGTGAAAAGCATGTTCGTTGTGGGCATGAACCCGTCCTTGAATGCAAACATACTTGAAATTAATAGATGCTCTGGTAATGTGATGCAAACTCGCTGGGAAATTTTTCACAAGCAGATTGAGATAACTCAAAGGTATCGTGGGGATCCAAATGTTTGGAATGCTTGGTTCGCTTCTACAAAAGATGCACTGCTTAGTATCATGACCTATGGGCTTCCACATTGTGGACTCAAAACTAAGGCCACATATGGTTTTGGAGTTCACCTTGCAGCTGTGAAGTGTGCCCTCACCAGGTCTGCATATTCTCTTTATTTTCTTGTTTTTTAATTGTTCTTTGGATTAGTATAAGCAACAACACAATGTTTTGCACAGTGTGAAACAAAATCAAGAAATATACCTTTTCCCCCCTCTTTTGTTATTGATTGTGCTTTGGGAGGAGGATTTAGCTCTTTTTTTTGTTCTTTTGTTTTTGTTTTTTTACAGTGCAAGTAATTGTGATGTTAATGAAAATGGAATACAACACATGGTGTTTTGCCATGTCATACTGGGAAATATGGAACTTGTTCATCTTGGATCTAGACAATTTCATCCCAGTAGTGAAAATTTTGATAGTGGAGTTGATGATCTGCAAAATCTGAGTCATTATATTGTTTGGAACATGAATATGAGGACACACATCTATCTAGAATATGTTGTCAGTTTCAAGACGTCCCACAGTGCTGAAGGTGCTACTTAATTAATACCTTATTTTTATTTTAAATTTTTTATATATTTATTGGTTAATGCATAATTGATTATTCAAGCTTAAACTAGACAATTTCATCCCAGTAGTGAAAATTTTGATAGTGGAGTTGATGATCTGCAAAATCTGAGTCATTATATTGTTTGGAACATGAATATGAGGACACACATCTATCTAGAATATGTTGTCAGTTTCAAGACGTCCCACAGTGCTGAAGGTGCTACTTAATACCATGGTTATCAGAATCCCGATCTGGATCTTACGATCCTACGATCTTATGATCCATTTGAGTACCATCGATCCGGATCGTGTACAAAACTCCTTATAGGTAGGATCTTTCTATCCTGGTAGTGGGATCTTATAGGATCGTGGAATCCCGATCCGAATCCGATCCTATCCGATCCAATTTACAAGTCTTGTTTTGTATTGTATGACATATTTTATTATAAATTTTATGTTTGTTGTCTAAATACCAATTTATGTAATCAAAACAAATAATAAAACTTAAGTAGCATTGAATCAACTAGACTAAGAAAAACAAACTAGGAAACAAACATTCAAATATTGTGGTAATTTAAGAAAATTAAATAGTCGGAAAAACAAACTTAGCTTTAGCGGAGTCTAAGGAAGGTAAAATGATTGCAACTTTCTCCCAATTTTTGGAGAGATTATTTTTGTGACTTGAATCCGCTCCACCAAGGGTACTAACGACAAACCTTATCATTCGACTAAGCTACTCTTTTGAGTTCTTAATCTATTTTTATATCTAACTTTGTTAAATATTTTTGTTTTTTACTTTTTATGCATTATTGTAGATTGTAAAGTATTTTGTTATAGAATTCTTCTTCTTCTTCGCCTTCTTTTTTGATGAAATACAAAACTTTTACCATCGAGTTTTCTATTGTATAATATTATATGTACATTTTATATGGAGTATTGTATTTTTCACAATATTTTCACTTATTTTTAATAAAATATAGGCTCATTTTGTGTATACTTTATAAGAAATATTTATTTAAATTAAATTATTATGTAATTTGTCTTTTTCAGTAGGATCTTACGATCCTCGATCCGATTTTACGATCCGATCCTATAAACACCTCCAACGATCCAATAGGATCCCGATTTTAACAACCTTGCTTAATACCTTATTTTTATTTTAAATTTTTTATATATTTATTGGTTAATGCATAACTGATTATTCAAGCTTAAAAGAAATTATGATTCACCACCTTTGTATGTGTGACCGCTGGCTTGATCGATACCGTTTAATTGGTTTTGTTACATTTGGATGGAAAAATCTAGCCTGACACTTTTGACCTTTAGTTCATGTACTATCTAGATTTGTGAGTCAGTGGGACTCACATTCCTGTAAGGTGTATGAAATCTGAATACTATTAATTTCTTATTGTTTAGTTTAGAATTTTTTTTTTTTATATTATATTTGAGACATCTTTAAGTATTAGAGTGTGAGACGTTCTCAATTTTCCTACAGAAGCTCTGGTCGGGAAAGGAAGTCGATTTGATGTACCTGGTGTTACTACTTGTCAGGCCATCATGGTCAATTGCAACTAGATTCATCTTCAGTTGAAACAGTAAGCATTCACATACTATAAGAATTCCATTGATTGCGAGACTTTCTTTGCTAATTTTGTCCAGCGAGCAGCAAATGTTTGATGGGGACGGTACAAATCTGGGCCCCTTCTGCTTAGTATGTTAATATAAGAAGCAACTGGGAGTGCACTGTTGTTGTTGGCACAAGCTAATAACACCAAGACACCGTAACCCAAAATTTCTTCTATTCCTGGAATTGTCCAGGAGTTGAGCTAAAGCTTGAGATTTTAATCATTTTGCAAGCAGGCCTGGTCCCGTAAACTATTTTATGAGGTTTGGTTGGCTTTACTGGAATCTATATTCTGGGGTAACTGTGAATTGTTTTGTATTGTGATGAAATTGTGTCTACTTGCAAAAAGGAAGAATAACTATAATGAGACACTTTGTGGATATATAGGAATTTGAGCATAGGTTGCTCAATAGTCACTTCACCATAAAGTTTATGAGAGCCCAAAATGTTGGGTGGGGATTGAATCTCACTTTTCAGACCTTGCAGTGAGTTGACCTAATAAATTTAATTAGGTTACATGACAAGACTTTCCTATAACACTTTTGTATTAATGGCTGATACTTAAATGCCTGTTGATGTTAAATTGTTTTTATTTATTGTTTCAACATTATTGGGAATGGCAAATATTCTATTGACGGCGAAGGGACCAATTTTCATTTGTACTTACGAATAGTTGTCGCTGCTGAAGGTTTTTTATCTCAATCTCTTCATTATGATTTAGGCATTATTTTTGAAAATGATTGGCAAGTTGGTATGGTAAATGATGGTAACCTTTGTTTGTAGTTTATGGCTTTTCCATTTTTGATAGTTATCATTTGTTATTTTCTAGGAGAGAAATTTCCATCGGCGTCGAGATACTGGGGCCAAATCTCAGGGAAATACCCCTAACATCGGTTCAACCACCTCCAAGACTCCTAAATCCCCTTGGATGCCTTTTGCTATTTTGTTTGATGCCATCTCCAATAAAATAGATCCTAAAGATATGAAATTGTTGAATATTCATTATGACCTATTAACAAGAATATGCCACACCTTTCACCTTATGTATTTTTTTTTTTTTATAAATAATTTTTTATGTATATTCTTTTAATATATTTTTATCTTTTTTGTTTTTTTGTCCCTTTTCTTTTTGCCCCACTTGTTGGAAATGTTATTAGAGCAAGAAAATCAATCGGGATGATTTTATTAAAAAGTTGAGATTGATAGTTGGGGATCAATTGCTGAGGTCTATGATAACTGGTCTTCTTTGTAAGGTACGATTCATTCTGTTTTGTTTGTCTCATGAGACCATAGCTACTTGTCTGGGGGCCATATTTAATTTAAGTTATACTTTTGAGGTTTGCTAATTATGGGTTTCATGCCAATCTAACAGTTGGCATTGGAGATGATAATAATGGGAGGTTAAAAGATTTTGTTGGGTGCTCATTCCTTCTAGTTAAATACTGTAGTTTGCTTAAAATAAATAAAGGGTACCATTTAAGCCTTTACATTCTTAATTATTGATGTTGTACAACATTTGGAACTTTGTTATGTATGTAATGTTATTGCTTTTACATACACATATGTATACTCATTTGCATGTATATATCCGTGTGTGTTGAGAGGCTGGGGATTCTGATGAGGAGAGAGTTACCATTATCGAAGAAGATGCTCATATTTGCTAGTATAGAAGCATTTCTAACTTTTTACATGAATGGAGGGATATAAATTCCATATATTTCTTAGATCTTTTTTTAATTTGAAGTACATTTTAAAATAATTTATAACATCTTATTCAAGAATAGTGAAATGCTAACAAGTATCCCGTGGGTATTGTTTAACAATGGAATTGATATAAGAAGTGTCTTGAAAATAGATGAAATAGTTAAAAAGTGTATTGAATTCAGTGAAAGTGTCTTGTGTTTTTAATTTTTTTTTTGTCTTTTTTTGTGTGCCTAAAGGGCACTTGTTAGCAAGACCAATATTATACAATGTATATAAGTATTTAAGATGCGTCCCAATAGCAATACCCAACTTTTGGACACATCCCATTATCTTAATATATAGGTTTGGAAATATCTGCCCTTTTTCTTTCAATCCATCTTCCTGGAAGTAAGTAATCCAGAACCCCCAAATGGATTATTCCTTTTTGGAATATGACACTTGGACACACACCTGCATTCGATGCTTGCACCTGAGTCCATATAACATAGTCCGAGTCAACAGGTCCTACTATGGAATATAGTGGGATGCATCAGTAGACATAATGAGGATTATGCACTGGTAATTGATTTGGGTGCGATTCAAGTCAACAAATATGGGCAGCTTTGATCAATGCACCCTCAGAAGTTCATTTTTTCCAGTTTCGTATGATACACAATTTTGCTATGCAATCACCACAATATTTTGGGCTCAAGAATGAGTCTACAAAAAGCTGTTAAAAGCAAGTTTTAATCTTAGTGGAAGATCAAGAAATGTTATGTAGTGTTGTTTCTCAAGGTTGTTAGTTGAGATAGATATGCTTCAGTCTCCACCAAAAAGTGAAATGGAGTGGGTTTTGTCTGTGGGAGAAGGAAGCTATATCAAGCTAAGGCCAAAGGAGCACGGGGGTTGATATCCACATGTAATTGTGTGTTATGTGGTTGTAGAAAAGAAGCTTTTGGTGGTACAGTTCTTTTGGTGGGACAGTTCTTGTTGGAGATGTTTGATGGTGCCTTTAGGGTTCTTCTATTAGGGAAAAACCTTGGGGCTATTTTTTTTATTTTATATTTTTGAGTGCGAGGGGTGCCTAAGGAAGAGTTTGTTGATAGACCTAGAATTGAACCAAGGTTGGTCATCAATTTTGAGTATGAAATAAATAAATAAATAAAAAATAAGAATTTTAATCTGAACTGAACCAAATTGAACTAAACTTTTGGTTGTCTATCTTATAATGAATATTTTAGAAATACTCATTTGCACGAAGCCACCAACTAGTGCAAATTTTGTCTGTTAAAGGCTTATTGATCTGCTAAAATCAAGACTTAGCTCAAAAGATCTTGAGTTATACTAGTGATGCTTGGTAGGTGGCTCAGTGGCGTAGTCCCTAGAACTTTCATAAAGAGCAACACAGATATTTCTTTATACTTACATGAAAGAAGTTCAAAATTTTAGCCGATGAATTTAGCACCCTTCATTCAAAATAGTCTATGGAATTAATACAGAAGTTGTTGACAAGCTTTCATACAGTTTTCTCTTTTTGGATGTGTCTGGACACACACATGACAAAGTATTTAGAATTATTATTTAATGCTCTAACCAAATAGTTTCATCTTGCCCCATTTTAACATCCTGTTGCAGACAGATGTACACACGTGTTTATTCAGGTGTACATTAATAAATTTCCAATTTTTTTCTGCCATTTTACAGATCCAAAATGAAGGACATTATCTGCAGTTGAAAGCTAAAGATGCTCTGCTAAATGCTCTTCTTGTGGCTGCTAAAAGATTTAGTTTAGGCCCCTCACAGGTGCTTTCTCTTCTTTATCCTGATTGGATCTGCGGGTGCTCTAATGCTTGAAACAGATGCAATTTTTGGGATATTTTATCAAAAAGCTCGACTGAATGTTAGATTTTGCTAATGTATCTTGTTTTTATTTTATTTTATTTTTGCTTTGTTTTATTTTGGTGTTGTATTTATCATTTGAATGAAGTGTTTATTTATGTATTTGTTTTGGGTTACTTGAAGAAGTGTTTGATTAAAAGTTGGTTACAGCTCTTAACACAAATCTGTCTTGCACTCTCTACTCTTATACTTCATGTTGTCGAGCATAGTAAACCTATTGTCCCTATGGAAAAGTCACTCCTTATTTTGTTGTTGCTAACCTCTCTCTGTCTCTGGTTCTCACTAAGGTTTGAGCTCCTCAGATCCCTTACTACCCTACATGTTATACCGTACGTCTAAACCATGGTTTTTAAAAATGGGCCACAATGTAACTGTATGGGTGGTTACCACCATCCGTTATGGCCGCTATAGTGGTGTGACTGAGACACATATATGTTGTCTAATCTGGAGTTGCCCACTGAAAACCCCACAAATTTAGTGCTTTTGCTGCTCCTGCACTTAGTTGCTGCTGCTGCAGAGTTGTTTTTGAAGCTGCTGCAAGTTGCCCACTGAAAGCCCCACCAATTTAGTAGCTTGGACCATATCTTCCACACTTTAGAGCACTGTAACAGAACATGGTTGCTAGATTCAGCTTCACTTTTACTAAATTTTTTTAAGTGTTGTGTGTTGCATCTTGAAGGTTATGTGATTGAGGACTATATTTGTTTCTGTGGGTCTACTCTACCCAGTCTTGTTGTCTGTTTGTAATGAATATTCGTCACAGTGTCCTTGCTGAGTTGTTACACACAAGTTATTGTATCTGTTAAATCCCCCAATAGGTCTATAATATGTGGTGATTGAACAAGTTTCTATTAGTTCAAGTGTACATCTGCATTTGTCTTGGGGTCGGTCTTGGCAGAAGCCTATTGTGATGGACCATACTGCTGTTGGTTGTTGTTCTGCTGGCTGTGGTATATGCTGAATTGCTGTCGTTAAGTTGAAATTTGTGAAGTTCATGTGTAGATACTGCCCATGGATGAGTGTATGGTTCTCTGCTAGTTGTTGAGTCTGTGGCTCCACTTGTGTAGCTTTGCTGGTGCTGCTTTCTGTTGTATGCTGCCCGCTGTCATGCTGACTGTAGCCTTAGCTGTGTCAATGGTTCATGCTGCCATGGTGTTGCTGTTGTATTTCCTTCCCTGTAGCAGTGTTGTTTTCTTTATAGTGCATGCTCTAGTGCTGTCTACGGTTGTTTTCTTCTTGCATTTCTGAACTGTATGCTACCCAACCTCTGTTTTGTTGCTGTCTTCTTGCAAGTAAGAGGTGCCTGATATGCTTGGTTAGTGCAGCAAATTGTGCTAGTTTTTTGAGTGGTGGTGATGCAAACGATGATGGTTTGTAATTGAATTTGGAGTATTATGTGCTTATGTATTGATTGGTCTATGGGGGTTTAGTTTGTTTTAGGATTGGTGATGAGGGCATAGAGTTTTGATGAAATACAACATAGTGAGCTTCTGGGTCTAGGCTATTAGTTGAGGTTATATATCAAATTTCCATTATCTTTGTTGTTCCTGCAGAATTTGAATCGTATGATCTGCTAGTTATTTCATTGAGAGTGCATCATCAATTTTATGTATATATGAAGAGGGTACTTGTTTGTCAGATTGAAGAAGTTACAATTGCTAACCACGAATGAGACCTTCTTGCCTTAAAAACTGCACAGAGCCCATGCTTCACCAAATTCTATCAATGTGAGTACCATCTATTTGGTTTTATGTGCCAATTACTCATCTTTGAATTACTGAATAATGAAATCATTATCTTGCCTCAAATCATTTCCTACAATTTTTTAAGATTTATGCATCACAAGAATATTAATCTTATTTTGTGATTAGGCAAGACATGATTCGAACATGCAGTCCGCTCATGGGAAAAGGACCCCATTTTATTTTTATTTTTAGTCCTTTACTTAAAAATAAATTTCTTGAAAATCAGTTAAAAGCTTCACAGAGTCTTGTTGAACTCATGTTAAAATTGTGAAATTAATAAACACCATTTTTAGACACTAAAAATAAATAAACATAATACAATGAACTAATCAAATATATGTCTTTAATTTTACATAGTGGAGGCTCATTCTTTGACACAGTATTTTTTTTTTTTTTTGGTGTGACTAGGTAGTGGAACTCTTTGAAGAAAGTGTGAGGTGTTCCCTGTTTGTAAATTATTTTCTTAAATAATTAAGTCCAAATTTTACTATAACTAAGTTGTTGGTTATAGTAAAATTTTTGTTGAACTTGCAATTTTTGTCAGTAAAGTGACATTTTGTTTTTATATGCTTCATGTCATGCTAGGGGTATTTAATGTTAAGACATTTGAAGGGGTGTGATCAGTCAGACTTTGTCTTTTGTAAGACAATAGTAGTCTCTACAAAAATAGTAAGTTTATTCATATGTTTCTAGCCGTTTCTGAATTAATTTGTGTTTTTATTTTTTAGGTCAGAAATTTCTTGGAGAGATGCAAAATATGATCAAAGAATTCAAGAACTTAGTTTTTCGAGTTTTTTCATCTTTAATATATGTAAGCACAGTTTAAAATTTTTTATTTAATTCATTTGTATCTAGTTTTAAACATATTTAACTTTCACTTATGAAATATATGACATTATTCCATTCAATATATGGTTGTGATTTAAAATATAGTATAAAGTGTGTATGACATTCTTCAAATCAATATTGATCACAGGTTTTATTAGATATTAATCACATTTAAAATCTGTGATCTAAATGGTTATTATCACATGTTTTATTAGTTATTAATCACACTTAAAATGTGTGATCTAAATATTATTAATTACACTTAAAAAGTGTGATCTAAATGTTATTAATCACACTTAAAAGGTGTGATTAAAATGACAATTTTTAATCACAATCTCAAAGATCACACTTTAATAAAATTTAAAAGGGGTGATTAAATAACATACATCATACAAAAGAGTGTGATCTTTATCTGTTTTTGTATTAGTGGTTAGTTGCATGTCTAGGGCATCTTTACTTCGTGCATGCATGTAAGATGTGGAAGTTGGCATACACGGAAGTTTCTTTATCCTTCTCGGCATCTGTGCGTTATTTGCATTGTCCTTTAAATAATCCAAGTTTATATGCTCTTTATGTACAAAATTGTTTGTTTGTAGTGTTTTTTTGTGTGAATATTGTATATTTTAGTTTATGTTTAAGGCTATAGATTATCAAAATCCACTTTTTCTACTGAAAAAAAAAAAAAACATTTTTTTAATGTAAATATGGCTTTATTCATTTAATTTAAAATATATGATGTTCAATTTTTTTCAAATCACATAGTTTTAGGTTAGTTAAGGGATTTAGATCTAAAATGAATATTTTTGAACATTAATAGAGAGTGAGTAGAGGCCAATCTTCGGATTGGGTAAAAGGGGGTGCTTCCATAGAAATGGCCATCTCCTTTTGTACCTAAGCTCTCGAACCTAAAATGTTTTTGGTTATGAAGGATTGGGCCTTAACTTAGTTTTCATCATTAAAATTTTATTAATACCCCTTTAAAAATTTAGTGGTGACTTTTTGTCAATAAAACAAGTGTCTGTGGGATGCATGTCTTAGACTCGAAAAAGTCACGTTGCCCACACACGCCATGGACGCCTCTAATGAACTTGCTCACCCCTCGAAGCGTAGGCCTGAAGAACTGATTGAGCTGAAGTGGCTCTCTGATTGGCCCTCGAGGCCTGAACAGACTGTGTTGGCAGATGGCTCTGAGTCTGGCTCGAACCAGATGAACCAGATGTGCCACTAGATTGTGGAAAAAATCACTTCAGATGCCTATACTGCCCATACTGAAAACATGTAGGTGGTTGCCCTCTCCTTTGGTTCTGACTCTAAGAACGAGTCAGTGAAATTGATGGTTGTTGCCCTCTTCCTCTCTACGGGCAAGCTGGAGACTTGTGACCGAACGAGCCACATTTGAAATAAATAAACCCACTTTGCTTGCCCCACCCTGAACTAGCACTTGGTACAAGGAAAGTGGATCTAATCAGTTTAACCTGGGACTACTGTGGGTGTAGACTCAACTTTCTTTGCGCGCCCCCTTTTGGAGAGGCACGAATTGGTCTCCTACAGTTCGGACTCCTGTCACGGTTCTGAATCTAATATCACAAAGTGCAATGTGAGACTGATAAAGATCAAAGAGTCTAATCCGGCAAGTCATTTTGAAAAATCAGATTTTAAATCAAATATTACCAAAACTGGACTGCTTTGCCAAATTACAGAGTCGCCACCTAAATATTTTATTTTTGGAAAATTAGGAAACCCTGATTCGTACTAAAGGCCACGTGTCCGTCATCACCAAAGTTGCCTTGGCTTGAGAACTTGGGTACGAGAGGGGAAGGTCCTAAACCGAGCACTCTCGCTCGCTCGATCAAAGATCGGCCTCTACTAACCATGATATGCTGTTTTATAAACCTCATGTGTTCTTATTCCGATTATTAGCTAACTTTACTATGTGACACACACACAAGTATAGACTAAAATCACAAGAATTGGAACAAATCAACTCATGTTTGTTTTCAAAAATGGTTTGAAAGTGCCACCCTCAAGTGGGCTTAAAACATGATGTTTTGCCACTTTGCAAAGTGGGCTTAAAACTCACATTCGTTGAGAATTATCCCAATTCAAGCAATAAAGCTTTCATCCACAGGCATTCATGCAGTTTAGCAAATAAGCACATACCCTCATGGCAACCATGCTGTCATGGCAACACTCACACTCATGCAAGTATGCTAAAGCGTAAAACTTGCAGTGTACTCCAAGCCAAAACAAAAGCTAGTTAGAAATATGCATGGTTCTAACTATACAAGATGCCTAATGCAACACATGCAATATGACATTAACATGCTCGGCTATCTAAAATGACATATGAATGCGACAATTTGATAACATGTATTCAAATAGGTATTGAAATACAATGCAGTTTGAGTGATGCGTCGAGCCCGGTGCATGCAAGACAAATGAATGATGCAAACATGCAAGCATAAGGTATGCTGATCGAAACATGTCCCTAAACTAACCATCGAAAGCGGTTAAATAAAAGGGAGAAAGACATGGGGTTGGAAGACATGTGCACACTCACACACTTATTACAACGTTTCTCCCTCTCGAAGGAGAGTCAGAATGAATAAGCTAAGCTACACTAAGCTAAGCTAATTAAGCTAACTATTACAAACCGATTAATTAACTATTATAGCTAATTAATTTTTACAACACAATTGAATAATTAGCTATGCTAAGCTAATTAAAATATTACAAAACAGATTAAACTAATTAATTACAACACATGTAATAATCAGCTACACCAGCTAATAAAACAATAAAGTGGCCTCGCGGGCGAGGGAGATATGCATGCTCGATTGCGTCCTCTCGAAAATCCATCACCTTAAACTCTGTTGTCTCTGTTTTCATTTTCCTTGTTTTCTGAAAATTGTGCCAATCTCCAGACTACCTTTGCTTCAAAACAGGGACCCTTTTGCATAGAAATGAACTGGTGGCATGTCGGCCACAAAAGATGGCTGTTGGCCACCCTAACTTGCCGGTCGGCTAGTTTAGGTGGCCGGTCGGCTACCTCAAGTGGCCGGTCGGCCA